ATAAATAAATAGATAGATAGATAGATAGATAGATAGATAGATAGATAGATAGATAGATAGATAGATAGATAGATAGATAGATAGATAGATAGATAGATAGATAGATAGATAAATAAATAAATAAATAAATAAAGAAGGGAAGGGAACTTCTGAGGACTCATTCTACCTAGAAAACCCAGAAAAGGGTTGCCATGAGTCACATTTAGCTTGATGACATGTATTATTTAATTCTCAAACTTTTTTTATTCTTACAGCTGGCGATGGAATCGTCATGTTTATGGTGACTAAATATTGGTGCATCAAATGATCTAGATCCTGTATCATCATATATTGCTGAAAGTCACATCTGTCTGTATGTGTAGAAGGTAAAATAATTAAGGAAACCACAGGTGGTGAGACTTTATTTATTGATTTAATTATTTATTTAATTTATTATTATTATTTTACCCAGCTTTTCTCCTTTAAAAAAGATGCCAGGCGGCTTACATCTTTTAAATAACGTCTTTTAAAAGATGTAACATTATTTCTGTGTATAAGACAGTACTTTTGTCTAAAATGTTTAGATTAAAAATTGAGGGTCATCTTACTCATGGGAATAAGGAAGGGGGGAGGGACTAAAGCGCTTTGATCCCTGCCCCCCCCAACTTTCTTGCAACGAAAGAACTTTTGGATTAGGAAAGTGGGGGGCGTCTTATAAGTGGGGGCGTCTTACACATGAAAAAATATGGCAAGCCGCCATGAGTTCCTTTTGATGGAGAAAAGCAGGGTAAAAATATTTTAAAATGGGCATTATACAAATATTAGAATTGAACAAGAATTGACTTTTACTAACATTATTATTTGAAAATATGCATCTGAGTAAAAAACAGACCAAATTATAAAAATGTGGACTGGTATTATAGAACCGATACAAGCCTGAACGAAAAACCTGAGTATCAGTTAAACATCAGTGCAATATAAATGCTTCTTATTCTTATGTCCCTTCACAAAATTAAAAAGAAATTGGTTTTATCTTAAAGGATCAGGACACAGTTCTTTTCCGTCTCCTTCCCATTAAACTTGTTCATGTTTACATTAATTTAATGTTTGTTAAACAGGGAAGGGGAGGGAAATGGCGTTTTTGGTAAAAAGACGGAAAACAGGAGTTTGGTTAAAAGAAGGAAAACCGACACCTCCGCTTCCCTCCAAATTTATTGCTCCACTCCTTAGAAAATCCATTTCTAACCACAGGCAAACTAGTATCTCAAACTACGATATCCATAGGTCACACCACCATGTCCAGGGATGATAGGCATCGGAGTTCACTGTGTTTGGAAGGGAGGAAATGTTTGACACATGGAATTAGATTGTTTGACATATGGAATTAGATCTGTGTGAGGGTCCGTTATTCTTCACCTCCGGGAATTAGATTGTTTGACACATGGAATTAGATCTGTAGGATGAAATCCTTGTACCAGTGGAAGGAAGCTGGAAATGAACCAGGTTATTTTTTTAAAAAAATTGAAATCACACTCAAGATTATTCCTAGAGTTTCAAGCCCTCCCTACTGTGAAGTGAGGATTGAGGAGATAGTTGAGAGTGAGCCATCCCGGCATGTGTCTGAGGATGCCACAATATTATGCCCACCTTGACCAGGGAGGTGGATGATCTACGTAAATATAGGAGGAGGGACTAGAGAAAAAGAAAGAAAAACGGCAGGAGGAAAGGGAGGTGGAAGATGGCAGAGGGGGAGGAGAAGGAAAAGGGGAGAAGCTGGCGGTCAGAAGAATGGTTAGTCCAGAGTGAGAGGAAAAGGAGGAGAGTGATCTGAAGAAGGAGCAGAAAGATGGACCATATATAGTGTGCCAGGAAGGGAAGAGATGCGTAGAGAGAGGGGTGGCGGATTTGTCCAAGGGCGAGGACATGGTCTGGAAGGTGCAACTGGGAGAACCAGACCCCTTGGAATGGACCGTCTATATCTGGATCATGTATATCGGTGGGGAAAAGGATGTTGGAAGAAGGTGGTTCGTCTAGACCCAATTCTGCCCATTCAAGACCCCTTGAAAGGTAGACTGGGCCTGTCACCCATGTTGTGGGACCATCTGTGTAGTGAGGAGCGGCCCTGGGAGAAAACAGACCGACCAAGAGAGATTCGGAGCCTCCCCGCATTCAGGGACGAGGAATCGAGTTACGGAATTCCATTTGCTCGGACAGAGTCTCCGTTCGCAGCTGGTCTCGTTGGACCCGCGGAAGCTGTTGTTGATTCCCCTGCCACGTCTATTACGAAAGGTTTTGTTGATGACAACATGACTCCTGTGTTTAATCCCACCAAAAAGGAGGAACTGCTCATCAGGCAATTAAAAGAGGCATGGAATGGAGAGAACCATGTGGGGTTAAGTTGGCTACCCCAAAATGGCAGGGGCGTTGGGTCCGCACCGCCTTTCAATCCAAACCTTCCGGGGGTCGTTAAAAAGGCCGAACCTGCTTTTGAGAGACAGTTCAGCAGCTTGAAAAGAACACCCTCCCGGAAAACAGGGACTGGATTTTGCACTCTCACGGAACCAGAGTCCACAATGACAAGCCTTGAAGGGATGTAGCCCTACCGGGTGGAGATCATCTGTGGTCGGACCTATCTAGAAGGTTGGCAGGCAGGATCCTAGGCAGAAGGGGAAGGAAAATTATAGAAGCCCCTGATGATCCCATTCCTTTGTTCCGGGAACCAATCTCGGATCAGGCACAGAAGCTGGATCGTCCACGGGTAGAAGAGCTCCATCGTCCGGGTGGCGCCAGCTTTCACGATGGCCAAGGCGGTATCGGAGACTGGCGCAGCCTTCATGTCCACCACGTCCCTAGAAAGGATGGGATTATGAGTGATGATTCCCCCTAGAACCAGCTGTTCATTGATATATCTTTGGACATTGCACGTGATCAGTAAAAAAGGGAATTCTCTGCTTCTGGCCTTTAAAGTTCGGACCAAAACCCAGTCGCCGGGTTTTCACAGGCCCAACCTGTTCTTACCAACAGCAGCGGGAAGGGTCCGAGTGATGCCTCAACCCACCTGGTTTTGTTCAAGGCCGATTCGGTGTCGATGAGGCCCAGGATACAGACGGTCACACTCACATCTTTCTCCTGCATGGCCAGCTCGTGGCGTAAAGACCCAAAGAAGCCTTCAAGGGCAAACTTGGTGGCCGAGTACGAGGCCGTGAATGGGGTGGCAATTCTCCCTGTAATGAAACGTTGAGGTCCCAGGACTCCTGGCTTTTTTTTTATTAAGCCGTGAGTCGTGATGGGATCAAAACTCAAAACGAAAACTCAAACTGTGTTATGGGTCCTTATATGGACTTTGTTCCTAGCGATCTCCTACACTGGAAATGGAAAGAGATGGAGGGAAGACTTATTTATCTAACTACAGTTGAAGATGCTTTTAATGAAAGGTAACACGGTGATCAAATGATGACTTTCTAACTACATTCCTAGTACAGTGGGACCCCCGTATCGGCAGGAGATCAGTTCCAAGGAGTGCCTGTGGATACTGAAAAACATGGATTACAGTGAATGCTATTTTAATAGCAGATAGCATGGTCTTTGGCTCCCTCTTGTGGCCAGTTCAGGTCACTTCATCTTTAGAAATATACTGTATACATTTCTAGGGTTTTTCTTTTTAATATTTTCAGGCCGTAGATAAGTGAAACAGTGGATACTGATTCTGTGGACAAGAGGATCCCACCGTAGTTTCAAAGCCTCACTTTGTCTCCAATGTGGAATGAAAGCGATCTGGATAAAATTATTTCGCCATAACCTTTTTAGGGCAGAGGCTGCTTTAAACCGCTGTCCTGCAGCCAAAACTGTGCTCACGACCTGGGGTTCAAATCCCAGGTAGCCGGCACAAGGTTGACTCGGCCTTCTAGCCTTCCGAGGTCGGTAAAATGAGTACCCAGCTCGCTGGGGGTGGGGGTGGGCAATGTGTAGCCTGCATAATTAACTTGTAAACCGTCCAGAGAGTGCTTGAAGCGCTATGGGGCGGTATATAAGCAGCACACTTTGCTTTTTTTCCCCGCTGTGACCTTTCCAGATCTGCTCCAATGATGTTGCACACATGTTTTCCCCCCCTCCCAAAACAAACCAGGCCGCCACTCACCTGTCAGCGAGGAGAGGACAATGATACCACCTTTACTCTCTGTAAGGGCTGGGAGGGCAGCCGAGGTGATAGCCACGTAGCTGAGAAAATTCACCTGGAAGGGGAAAGGAAAGGAGCCATCAGCAGCGGGACCAGAAGCGTGGAAACGGCGGTCCCAGACAGACCACCGATGCCGATGAAAAAGTGGATCATTATCGTTCCTGCCGCTCGCTGAGAAGGGGGTGGTCGGCAGTCTGCAGCAGCTTTTGTTTCCTGCCAAAACCTCTCTGTGCCTTCGACCCTAGAAGGTTAGAAGGGGGAGAAAAGAGATGATGGGAAACCCACCAGCTTTTCTTGGGTCTTGCCTCGAATTTGGGAGGCACGAGATGGCTCCGGATTGAGGTCCCATCCGGCCACCGTGTGTTAATACCGAATCCCAGGACTTGCGTTACCGGCAGGCCTGGACACGAAACATTTGCGCTAAAGAGCAGGCGGCAAACATATGCTGATTTAGGAGAGCGAACCAGTTCTCCCCAGTTTGGCAGGCTGGGATGGCCTTGGGGCCGTGGAACATGCAGGTCTGAGATGGTCCTGCTGTTCCTCGTTATGCACGGGCCTCAAGGGCGTGGATTATGAGGTTCCCTGCTTAAACAAAGAGACGCCCGTCTTCCTTATACACGATTGCTGTTCCTTGACTATGTCGCCCTGTTTCAGCAAAGACGCATCTGATGCATCGTGGCTGACATCAGACATCTCGTAAACAGCTTGGGGGGAAGGTGTGCTTTGCCATGGATATTTAAGAAAATATTTGGAATATAGAAATGATTTACAAGAGAAACCCCCACCTCCCACCCCTGGATGTTTTACTCTATCATTCTCTTTAGAACAACCCAGCGGGGCAAACGGTAAAGGATTAGGGGTAAAGGATTATCCCTGCACTGGGCCATGAAGTCATTTCTAATTTATAAGGACCCCGGGAATGAAGAACCGCCAAAGGGCCTTGTCATTAACAGGCCTGCTCAGTTCTTGCACACTCGAGTTCATGGCTTCCTCACTGAGCCGACCCATCTCATGTCCCGTCCTCCTTTCCTACTGGAATCCACCTTTCTTATTTTTCTAACGATATAGCCAAACGACAACGGACTCAGGTTTGTCCAAATTACTTTATCATGGGTGCCAAAGTTTTCCTGCTCTTGTTTTATCTGGAAATATTGGAATACAGCAGTAGCTGTACGTGACTCTGTGGGCCTGTACAGGACTCTGGAGATGATTTAAAGATCTTTGAGAAAAAGCACATAAAATACATATAACTTGGATCCAATTCAGATTGAAGGAGGTGCCCCAACCTGCGTTCAAATCGACGCTTCCCACTACAAACCCGGCAAGCTATCAACCAGCCCAGTTCTTAAAACAGGTCAAATCATGATATGCGGGTCAATTCTGTGGGTGCTGAGCCACGAAGGAGCTTGTGACCTTGTCAATATTGCTCATCAGAGGGGACCCAGTCACCTCAGCAGCCCGAGAAAATCTCCTCGGGTTGGGTCAATCATCCCCCAGAGCATACCTGGAAGAGAAGCATCAATGCTCACCTCCATAAGCCAGCGGACGTGAGCCACATCCCCAGACCACATCTCGAAAGGGGTCCAGCCGATGTGATTGAGAACCACGTAATCCAGACCCCCTAAAACAAGGAAGAGAGAGAGAGAGAGAAAGAGAAGGACACAGATATGGGTTCAGAAATCTGAGCATCACAGGCAGGGGATCATTTTAAGGGAGGGTGGGACGGTGCGGTTGGCCCAAGGCCACCCAGGCTGGCTCCTCTCCCGGGCGGGACACAGAGGGGGGTTCGAACTCCCAACCTCTGGCTCCACACTTTTCACCACTTTTCACTAGTGCACACATATGACATGGTTTTCAAACGTGCTTGCCATCAGCGAATTAACCAGCTTTCGCTATCAAGAACTGACCGAGTTGTTCCAAAGCAAAACGGACAAACTTTTCCGGCTCGGAGGGGGAAGCCATGTCCGCAGGAAAGACGAGGGCTTTCTTTGCACCCAGCTCTAAACATTTCTCTGCCACCTGGAGGAAAAGTGAGAAGCGTAAATTTAAAATGGGAAAAAAAATTAGAATATAGTTGCCTTGTGTTTGAGCTAAAATGAAACACATCCAGGCTGCTCCAGAAGAGGATCGCAAATTTCCTGGACTGGCATCTACAGAGCAGCAGCTTAGGCTAAAATCTGAACCCTTTCGGGGAGAAGGTTATAGGCTCTAACTAAAAACCAGGAGACTTAGCCACCTCCCCACCCACCCAGTTCTCTGCCAAAATGAAGATTTGAATCACGGGAGAGACTATATAGACTGTGGTAACGTGCTCTGTATGGAGGTCTTGGAGCAGCATCTATTGTGGCGAAGAAGGCCAATTTGAGACTGACAATCCCTTATATGCTGAAGATAAACACAATCCCTGTCCAGCTCCCTGATTTTGCTGCTTTTGGGACTGCCTCTTTGCCTCGGCCTGCTGGACAAGGGTCTCTTCAAATTGGGAGAGGACGTGATGCACTGCCTGCCTCCAGGCTGAGTGCTCAGATGTTAAGGTTTCCCATCTGTTGAGGTCCATTCCTAAGGCCTTCAGATCCCGCTTGCAGATCTCCTCGTATTGCAGCTGCAGTCTCCCTCTCCAACTCTTACACCACACTGTTTCTCATTAGCCTTTCCCTAGAGAAAGGGTGGTATTTCCTCAATCACCATTTGGGTGCTGTTCTCCCTGCAACTTTTCCACCACTCTGATCTCTTTCTTGCACCCCAGGCCTCAACCCCTTGGCTATCACAGGTAAAGAAGAAAAGGCCAAGGCCAGGCATGCGTGAATCCGGCCAATTCAACACGTCAACTCGGGCTGGGAAGATGAGCTGGATTGAAGACCGTGCTTCGGAGATCTGTAAGACCTCCCCCCCCTTTTTTTTTTTACAGTCTTGGTCTCCCATTGCTCCAGAACCCCTTCCTCCACTTTCCGAGGGTCAGACATGGCTTCCCTCTCACCTTCTGCAGCACGGCCTCCCGCCGGGCCGTGAGGACGATTTGGGCCCCAAACCTGGCGTAATGATAGGCCATCTGTTCCCCGATCCCAGTGCTGGCCCCAGTGATGAGAACACGAGCGCCGGAGAGGCTGGCTAGGTTAACAGAGACAGGGAGGGAGGGATAAAAGCATAGTTGCTAAAAAAGCATGAAGGATGAGAACATGAGATCGTGGTGGCATCGAAGAAGACCTGAAATTTTATGCAGAATCATGGAAATCGTCATCATCCTCTTAGAATGGCAGAGCTGGAAGGGACCCTATGGATCATCGAGTCCAGCCCCATCAAAGAGGCACAGTGGGGAATCAAACCCCTAACCTCTGATTCTGCAGTCAGATAGGTAAACCACCGACAGATTTCGACAGCAAGACCTGGGTGGAATGTTAATTCCCCATCCCCCACCTCCAGCCCTCTTTAATATTCCTATTTGAAGGCAGAATTTTCCAAGCCAGACATTACAGGTCACCTGCAAAAGGGATTCTGTAAGTGCTGATCTTGCTTGATTGTCGCAACAGAAGCTTTGCAAATGAGCGTCTTCAGATGCTTTTTTCCCCAGCAGGCTTTCAGGACTAAAGTGCCCACTTTTATTGAAAGCTGGATTTCTCGGACGCGGAGGTGTGCCTGAAAGACCCCAGCCCTGTTTCTTGGACCCACACGAAAGGCTACCACAGAGAAGGCCCTGCTTGTGTGATGTTACACCAGGCCATCCCGCTGGCAGCGGAGCAACCCCATCAGACAACACTGGAGGATCTCACAAGCCCTTTTGACCTCCTGGTGGAAGATGGTGGTGGACTTCCATTTTTCTAGCCATGCACACCCAGCCTCCCTTATTCTGGACAACACGTGGGGCATTTCCAACACTCAACCCACCTGGGTCAAACGTGTCCCTCCATAAGAACGCCACCCAACCCACGATGACGGCCAGGCTGCACAGGACGACTCCCAGCAACCTCATCGTGGCTTCGCTCTCCAGGAATGGCGGTGGAACCAGAGAATCCAGGCACGGGTAAGAGACCTAAAAGGTGGCAGGATCAGGCAGTAAGGCAGGTTCCCACCTGCTGGTTAATCTCTTGCTTTGCAGACTCCCTGGGTGAATACAAAGGTCAGAAATGAGAGATAAGACGCCCAGAGTGGCAGATTCCCTCCCTGCAGAACGCCAGCTAGGGCCCGAGTGAGAAACGGCGCCCCTAGGCGTATGCACAAAACTGTGAACCTCTGCGCACTTCATGTGAGGATAAACCTGATAAGCAGGTCAGGTTAATCCCCATGTCTGGTAATCCTCCGAAGCTTTAGAAGGCAGTCCTATTTTGGGCACACCCTAAGAAGGCAGGATTCTCTGGAGAAAGACCACCAGGGTGGGAAAGAGGGAAGGAAGGCAGCAGGAAAAGAGGAACACACAATACGAGATGGATAGACTTCCTCAAGGATCCCACAGGCAAGAGCTGAGCGGATCGCTCCTTCGTAGAGTTGAAAGTCAGAGGCGATTGGAGGGCACATCGCCACCACCACCACCACCAACAGTATCCTAGATGTAAAGTCCTCAGAGGTCCTTTCTTGGTGAGTGTCTCCCTTGGAGCCACTGCCTGGCTTATGCCCAAGGCCACCCAGCTGTCAGGCCCCCTCCACCACACCTCTTCTCTTGGGGTGATTTTGCCTGGCCCCTCTCCTGGATGGGGGTGGGGGTGGATTTGAACTCCCAGCTTTGGGCTCCGTCACAAGGTGCTCCAACCCATGGCAGCTCTGCCTGCTCATCCCTAGGTTTATCTCTCAACAGAGAGGGTGCTGAGTCTCCTACGTGCCCGAATCCTACCAGGAAGGATGCTTCGAGCCCTAGGGGAGGAAGTCTCCTCCGATCCAGCCCCCTTCTCCACAGGGTAGCTTACTCCAGAGTCAACATCACAAACAGCAGCACTGGATGGAGGCAGAACCACCCCATGGCAGTCCCTCTTATTTGATTCCTCTTATCACCGGGTTCTTGGCCTTTCTTTCAGAGGTTAGCAGGTGGCCTTTTCTGCCACCTTGCCCAGAGCAGCGGGCAGAGAACATTAACCATAAAATACACTAAATTTACATGATTAAAAGATCCTTTGGTTTTACCCCTCCCCTTGCCCCACAAGTAAAAATAATAAATAACTTTCACTTTCAGCACAGCTTACAACTAAAAAGTAAAGAAACACAGACAGACAGACAGACAGATAGCCAGATAGCCAGATAGATAGATAGATAGATAGATAGATAGATAGATAGATAGATAGATAGATAGATAGATAGATAGATAGATAGATAGATAGGGGTTTCCTTCCGAGTGAAACCCACTCAGGTTTGCGCTGGCATTTAAT